TGTTACAAACAAATGACCACTATGTGATGTAGGATATAAATACCGAGTACAGGGAGGTAAAGTTATATGGCGGTTATACGAAGGCGTAGATCTGCACAGATAATTTTTTATCCTAGGAAGTAGTACCCATTGCAAACTTCAAAATCCAAATTTGAAATAGTTCCGGTTAAAAGTGAAACAAAATCATAAAATTACTGAATATAAGAGGATTGCGAAATCCAAATACCAAATTTAATACAATTTCGGAGAAAAATGTTGCAAAAATGATCAAAATACCGAATAGCTGGAGGCATAGTTAAATGGTGACTACCAAATCTTGAATCAACATGGACAATTCTTTGCAAAGATGTTTCCCACATTTAGGGAAGCCAAAGAGCCAACTTGCAGCGAATTATGTTCATAAATATGACTAAAAGCAAAACACCTTAAATCTGGTGGTGCAGTAATATGGACTAAATCGAAATCTGGGCCTATATGCCCCATAGTAGGCCGAAATATGCCATCTTCGCACCAGATCTTGTATTAATAAAAATATCACGATGTGTGAAATTTGGAAACGATTGGGCTATAATGTTAAATTTTATACGAGTAATACTATTCCAAATGTTGACCCTTTTTAGGGAAGGTACTAGTAGCTGTGGTCCCATTTGTCCCGCCTCCATACAAGATACAGATATGGTTAAAATATTAGTATGTGCGAAATATAAAGATAATCGTACTCTTCTTTCACATTATAAACGAGATTATTCAAAATGTTGACCTCTTGTTTGGGGAGGTACTAGAATGATGGAAAGATATTGTCGATTTTCGTACCTGACCTAGCGCTGATAAAAATATTAGAATTTTCAAAGCGTGCAAAAAATTGGATTAACCTTTCTTGTTCTTTAAGGTAAATTATAATAACGTAATAACATACTGAATATACGCTTCATAATATGGAGGATGATATTATCACGTTATTCCACATGTCGATACAAAACTTCCGCCATTAACTGTAGGCTAGTGTTGAAAATGAACAAAAAAAGAGTTGCAAAAAAAAAAAAACATGACACAACAATAAAAGACAATAGACAAAATATCGAAAAAAAAAACATATCTCCATGCGTAATGATAATTGTGTCAAGTCATTAAGTTCGGGCCAATGGCAAAACTTTCGATACGATTAATTTATTTTTAGAAATAAATGCAATATGAAAAAAATCTATATAATAAACAAAACAACGATTTTGAAAAATGAAAGTAATCTTAAACGGGTTGCTTTAGGTACGTAACACACTCTTGACACACACACGTACACCATATTCATCAACAACAAGGTATTTAGAGGCATACTGTTAGAGCTTATATACACAAGCATGGATTATATTTTACTATACCCTACACCACATAGTGGTATGGGTATTATGTTTTTATGCATTTGTTTGTAACAGGGCGAATGAAGCGAGATAGACCAATGGTAATTTTTGAGGATCATCATCTGTCCGTCCATCTATCCATGTATTTTTGGAACAAAATGCCGCTCGCATTTATTATCCGATTGAGATGAAATTTTCCAAACAATATTTGTTTAGTCCAAGGACGAATCCTATAGAAATTGTTGAGAATCGGTCCAAATATAGATATAGCTCCCATATGTATCTTCAACCGATTTCGGGTTAATTGTGCGCCAAATAGTTGTGCATCAGCCCAAATGGACTAAATTTTGGCACATCCGACCAAATTTAGTCTAGAAATAAATACATCAAATTTGGTGAAAATCGGTTTAGATATAGCTATATCTCCCGTATATTTGGTATGTGTCTCTCACATACATAATGTGCACTCCACAACAAAAACCTTTGGTATCAGATACAGCCCAGAAGTGTTTAAAGTGTTTTTGTCAAGATCTGTTCAGATTTGGATATAACTCCCATACATATTTTTTACGTTTTTGTGCACCAAATTTTGCACCTTTGTGGGGGAGGTACAAGAAGGAGTGGACCGATATATCCCAACTTTACAAAAGACCTTGGGTTAATAAAAATATTGTGATGTGTGAAATATGAAGAAAACCAGATGCTTATTTCGGATTTTATTATCGTTTTGGTTATTCAAAACTTTGACCCATCCATCTTTATAACAGATCTTGTGTTGATAGAAATATTGAGATGAGCCAAGTCTGAATGAATATCAGATTTTAATTTTGCGTTTTATGAGTTGTGGGGGAGGGACCAGAATTATTAGACCAATATATTCCAGCTTCACACCAGGCCGTGGGTTAGTAAAAATATTGTGATTTGTGTAATTTGAAGACAATCGGTCTCTTCCATCACATTTTATAAGAGTTATAATTATTCAAAATTTTGACAGTTTGCGGGGGAGGTACTTTATTTTCGCACCTGACCTAGCACTGATGCAAATGTTAAGATTTGCAAAGTTGGAGCAAAATCATATTATTCGTTCCCTTTATGTGCAGTAAAATATCTTTTCGAAAATTTTTACCTCTTGTGGGCGATGTACCAGATGGAGTGACCGATATTGCCCATCTTCGAACTCGATCTAAGTTTGATAATAATATAATAGAGACCTAAACCGTTTTTTTTTTTGATGAGTCACGTTTTGGCCTATCAAATGATATATGCCCTCCGTAGCCATGTAGTGTACGAGCTGTTCCCTTCTATCATACCCTTCACCATAGTATGTATATAACACGGAATGGCAAACTTAATATACCCTACAGTTTGCCATTCCGTTTGTAGCTCCTCGAAATATACATTTCAGACCCCACAAAATATACATATTCTTGATCAGCATAAAATTCTATGTCGATTTAGCGATGTCCGTCCGTCTGTGAAAATGACTCTAGCTTCCGAACGAAATGAAGTAGGTTGATAAAATTTTACTCAAATGTATATTATATCTGCAGGACTTTTGGTATTGAAAATGGGGCATGTAGGTCGACGTTTTGATATAGCCCCCACATAATGGTACCATCCTATTTTCGGTATTTTGGTGATATAAATGACATTATTCACCGGAAATATTTCAAATTTGATATTTGAAGTTCGTAATGGATACTATAGCCCAAGACAGAAAATTATCTGTGCAGGTCTACGTCTTCTTATAGCTCCCATATGACGGTACATCCCGATATTCGGTATTTTGATGATTTTAGCGACATTATTCACCGGAATTGTTTCAAATTTCGCTTTTGAAGTTCGTAATGGATACTACGGCCTAAGACAGAAAATTGTCTGTGCAGGCCCACGCCTTCGTATCGCCACCATATAAAGGTGCCAGCCGATATTCGATATATTGATGATTTTAGCAACATTATTCACCGGAATTGTTTCAAATTTGGTATTTGGAGATCGTAATGGATACTACAGCCTACGACAGAAAATTATCTGTGCAGGTCCACGTTTTGGTATAGCCCTTTATTCGGTATTTTGATGATTTTAGCTACATTATTCACCGATTTTTTTCAAGTTTCGCATTTGAATATTTTAATAGCTTATGACAAAAAAGTATCCTATGGAAGTCCACGTCGTAATATAGACCCTAATATAACGGCTACATTCGGTATTTTTCAGATTTTGACAGAATTGTTTTTTTTTTTTTTTTTTGAAATTTCCAAATTTGTTGAAAATGGTTAAGGGTATTCAAAGTTCGGCCCGGCCGAACTTACAGTTTTTTACTTGTTATTTTTTGTGCTCTCTCCAGTGTTATTGACTTGAGAAACGAAGTGGCGAACAAAACATTCGGATAGGTGAGTTGTCAGAAGTTGGTTGTGTCGTTTGCTGATTAATTAACTTTTAGGGGCAAAGATCTATTATTGTCTAATGTCATCTTAGGTGTGTACGATAACCCAATAATTTGTAATAATTTCTACAAATTATTACAGAATGTTGTTCAATAACCCATATCTCCTGTAAATGCGAAAGATTTGGAAATACATTCTACATTACTGAGTAACTGAGAATTTACAAATTCTTACTGAGAAAATGTACTCAGTAAACAAGTAAAAAGGCTGTAAGTTTCACCATTTGGACCGAATTTGGCAACTTTCAAAAAAAAAAAAAATTAAATCCGTTAAAAATTCTGTTAAAGTTTTATTTTAACAGAATAGACCAGAATATTTTAGTGTCTATACGACGAAGTGGACATGCATAGGCAACTTTTGTCATTAGCCATTACAATATTCAAATGCGAAACTTGAAAAAAAAAACGGCGAATAACTTAGCTCATACCGAACATCGGGAGGTGCCGTTATATGGGGGCTATACGAAGACGTGAACATGCACAGACAATTTTCTGTCTTAGGCTGTAGTATCCATTACGCACTTAACATACCAAATTTGAAACAATTCCGGTAATTAATGTCGCTAAAATCATTAAAATACCGAATATCGGAAGGTAACATTATATGGGGGCTATACCAAAACGTGGATTTACATGGCCCATTTTCAATACCAAAAGTCCTGCAGACATAATATACATTTGAGTAAAATTTAATCAGCCTACTTCATTTCGTTCGGAATCTAGAGTGATTTCCACAGACGGACAGGCGGATAGACAGATGGCGGGCAGACGGACGGACATCGCTCCATCGACATAGAATTTTATGCTGATCAAGAATATATATACTTTGTGGCGTCTAAAATGTATTTTCGAGGTGTTACAAACGGAATGACAAACTTAATATACCCTCCATACTATGGTGGAGGGTATAAAAACTAGTATAGTCTAATGTCATCTTAGGTGTGTACGATAACTTTATAATTTGTAAAAATTTCTACAAATTATTACAAAATGTTGTTCAATAACATAGCTCTAGTAAATGCGAGAGAATTGACAAGACATTCTACATTGCTGAAAATTTTCCAAAACTGAGAATTTACAAATTCTAACTGAGAAAATTTACTCAGTAAAATATTACTACAAAAACAATAACAATGTTGATGTTGTCAAATGTTTTGTTGGTGTAAACACCTTATGTAAATAATTTCCTTTACACTTACCTTTTTCGTACTAAATCCCAAAAACGACAGTTTTCGGACATTACTGTCACCAGAGGAACCCTGGCCACTGAAACTCATTTTGATGGTATCTTCCTTCTCCTCTTTATGTTGCTGCTATGAGGTTGAGGATTTTCTGAATATTTCCAAAAATTATAACTGTAAATAGAAGAGAGCAGAAATAAATTATGAATATAAATCACTTAAAAGAACAAATTGCAGTATGTTTTAATAGAACGATAGTTAGGTATATCACTGTAAGAACTTGTGTAACAACAACGGCAACAGCAAAAACAATAAAATTAAAAAAAATCCTAAAGCAATAATGTCACAATGTTTTCTTAAATGTAATTGCGCCTTGCCGTTTAATTAAAGTCACGCATGTATCTTGTCACGCAAACAAACGTTATGATATCAAATGAATCCCCATATCATTCACATCATTTGGCTACTTGCATCTTCATTAAACACCCTGTTCTAATCGCAATCATGTCTGTTTTCATGTCATAACGTCATCGACATCAGAGCGTAGCCGATCAATGATGACAATGAAGATGATGATGATGATCATCATCATAATTGTTATTGCCAATTAATAAAAGCACGAGACTGGGTGTTTTTTTTTTTTAATTTCATTCCTATGTAATCAATTAAGCCCACTCCTCATTGTTGTGAAACATTTTTGTTGTGTCTCCAAAGTTCGTCTGCCAACGAAGAATATTCTACAAAGAATAAATAATAATAATAAAGAAATTGCCGATAGCCTGTATGATCGATAGTTCGTTCGTTCGGCCGTTGGTTCGATTGGCCATACATAACTCAGTCGTTCTACGACATTCATTCATTCACACTGTGAGCGAGACTGTCACAAATAATGAATTGAGTTTAATTTATTGACAGTGTTAATAAAATAGCTTGGAATGTTTAGAGTAATAATTTCACAATTTCAAACAATAAATGACATTTCAAATAATTGGGAAGGAAATATTCCATTATACATTTTCTGAACACACGTCCGTACACACGTATGTTTGAATGTGCGCAATACTTTTGTTTTTGTTTACACAGAATTTTTACAAAAAACGGTTGTTTGATTTTAAGGTAAGAGCAAAGCTACCGAACAGTTCTAATTTTATATCCTTAACTTTGTCATTCCGTTTGTAACTCCTCGAAATTCTCTTGTTAGACCAACCAATGTACATACATATATTCTTGATCAGCGTAAAATTTTAAGTCGATTTAGGGATGTCCGTACATCGGAGAGACAGACAGTCTCAGTCTTTGGAAAGATTTGAGACAAACGGCTAAAATTTTGAACACATGTGTATTTTGCCAGTAGGCAGGTTAAATTCGTGAATGGGCGATGCTGGTCCACGTTTTCGTAGTGGAAGCTGCTGATATATGGGGGTTATATCGGTATTTGGGTGATTATATCAACATTTTATTTTTTACCGGAATTGATTCAAATTTCGTATTTAAAGTTCGTAGTGGGTACTACAGCCAAGACAAAAAATTGCATATGCATGTCCACGTCTTCATATAGCCTCCATATAAAGATACCTCCCGATATTCGGTATTTTGATGATTTTAGCGACATTATTCCCGGAATTGTTTTAAATTTCACATCTGAAGTTCGTAGTGGGTACTACAACCTATGACAGACCAGTAAGGAAAAGTCAAAAGTCGTGTGGTGCCGACTATATGATACCAAACACCACGATGCATATTTAGTAAAGCCTCCGTAACAAAAGAATTTATTTGAGGTAGATCATACTATTGGCTTTAGGGCAGCTTTAATTTGGTTCCAAAGAGTTTGGTTCGTATGGGAGGTAATCCAATTCTGTATCAATTTTCACTAAAATTGACGGAGACATTTTAATCTTTTATACCAAGTAACATTGCTATAGCTTCGGCCGGGCCGAACTTTGAATACCCTCCACCATTTTGAACAAATTTGGTAATTTTCAAAAAAAAAAAAAAAAATCTGTTAGGGTCTATATGAGGACGTGGACTTGCATAGGCAACTTTAGTCATTAGCTATTACAATATTCAAAAGCGAAACTTAAAAATCTGTTCATAATGTAGCTAAAATCATCAAAATACCGAATATAGGGAGGTACCATAAATTTGAAAAAAAAAATTCTGGTTAATAATTTCGCTAAGATCATCAAACTACCGAATATCGGGAGGTATCGTTATATGGGGCTATACGAAGACGTGGACCTGCACGGACATTGTAGTATCCATTACGAACTTCAAATACCAAATTTCAAAGAATTCCGGGAATAATGTCGCTAAAATCAACAAAGAATCAAATTTCGGGAGGTACCGTTATATGGGGGCTATACGAAGACGTGGACCTGCACAAACAATTTTCTTCCATAGGATGTAGTATCCATTACGAATTCCAAATGCGAAATTTGAAACAATTCCGGCAAAAATAGCCGCTAAAATCATCAAACTACTGAATATCGGGGGGTAACGTTATATGGGGGCTATACCAAAACGTGGACCTACATGGCCCATTTTCAATACCAAACGTCCTGCAGACATAGCATACATTTGAGTAAAATTTTATCAATCTACTTCAATTCGTTCGGAAGCTAGATTGATTTCCACAGACGGATAGACGGGCGGACATCGATAAATCGACATAGAATTTTATGCTGACCAAGAATATATATACTTTGTGGGATCTAAATGTATATTTCGAGGTGTTACAAACGGAATGGAAAACTTAATATTCCCTCCATACTATGGTGGAGGGTATAAAAATATATATATCGGAGCCGAGTTCCACCAAATGGAAACGTACGTCACAAAATTCACTCCATTTGGTCTGATATTAGTTATTATTTGCATAATAGACCTGAAATGGGATTAAGGATATATATGGGAGCCATATCCACATCTTAGCCGATCTCGATAAAATTTGGCAAAGGTATTTCCGACCTCTAGAAGATATCTGGTACCAAGTATCATTCTTGTCTATTGCATATTAAGAATGTGAGGGACTTAAGGACCAAATTGGACGAAACATATATATATATATGTATATATGAGAGCTAAAGCTATATCTGAACCAAATTTGATGTAATTGCTTCTAGACAAAATTTGGTCGGATGTGTCAAAATTCAGGTCATTTTGACTATTATTGAACATTTGCTGCGTAATTAAACAGAAATCGGTTGAAGATATATATGAATGCTATATCCAAATCTGAATTGATTTTGATACAATTTGGCGGAGGCATTTCTGGGCTGTATCTGATATCTGGTACTAAATATCATTCTTGTGGGGTGGATATTATGTCAGGGACTTAAACACCAAATCGGATGAAACAAATATATGAGATATAAATGCTACCTACATTTTGTTCACAAGAATACATTGACAGACGGACTGACATGCATAAATCGATTCAGAAAGTGTTTCTATAACAATCCTTAAAAGTAAATATGGGTCTATGTCGCTTCCGTTGCCACATTACAAACAAAGACATAATACCCTTACCATTATGCGGTGTAGGGTATAAAAATTGCAAATAGAGGACCACGTCTTAGTATAGCCCCCCTATAATGACTTTGATTTGAGTAGTAGTTTTTAAGAGGTTTTCTTTTTGAAAAAATTCAAGTTCCTTCAAAATGGTGGACGTTATTAAAAGTCCGTCCAAGCCGAACTTAGCTGCTGTTTTAATTGGTGTTATATAGTTACTTTTTGGCTGTTTGAGTTATATTTTGAACAGAATTTGATGTTAATTGGCCGTTTGTGTTCCCTATGTGTGTGTGAAATATCCGTGCAAAGAACCCGATAATCGGTATTTTGATTATTTTCGGAATTGTATCAAATTTAGCATTGGGAGTTTGTAGTTTTTTGAAAAGCCTAATAAAATAAGAAGATTTAGCCTTGTCTGTCCGCCCGTCTGTACGTCTGTTGTAATTACGCTAGAGTCAAAACGAATTAAGATAGGAAGCTAAAATTTTGCACAGATTGACCTCAGGCAGGTCAAGTTTGGTCCACGATATCATATAGACCCCATATAACGGTACCCCCGATAACGGTACCCCCGGAGTTGTCAGAAAATTCACACAATGAGTTCCTTCTGAGTACTTTACCCCCTGGATGATAATTGTCTATATAGGTTCAAGATATCGTGTAGCCCCCATGTAACGGTACCCTACCCCCTTCCCCCGAAATTCGTTATTTTAAAGATTGTAACGAAATTATTCACCGGAATTGTTTCAAATTGTACATGCAGGTCCACCTCGTCGTATAACGATATTCGGTATTTTGATGAATTTAGGGACATTATTTACCCGAATTGGTCCAAATGTTGTGTTTGAACCCCAATGTATCGGGTTTCCTTTGAGCGGCAATTTTCGAAGGATTTTTTTTGGAAAATTTTCAACTTACTTCAATTATTTTTTTGCATTTTGCAAATTCCTTCCAAATGGAGGAAATTATTAAAAATTCGGTCGGGCCGAACTAAGCTATTCTCTTATTTGTTATTTTTGCTACGTGTTATTTTTGTTACTTGTTCAGACTTTGCTACAAATGTTCTTATAATTGAACTATTCAATCTGACTTATGGAAAATTCCAAGTGGATTAGATAGTACTCAGCTCAGATTAAAACTTCAAAAGAGTTTTGAGTTTTTAGGCCAAATGTTTTTTGGGGCCTTTATTCTTTACAATATACAAATGGGCCCAATAATTCAACTTATATTTTTATATTTGTAGCTTTGGAAATTAATATAGAGCTCTGGACTACTTATCATTAAAAATCATTGTTTTAAAAAATTGTGATCGATTTTGTATGGGTGTCAGACTATGCAGGAGTTATGGGTAACGAAATAACAAAGTCACAGGCAAGGACTGCCATAGAATTAGCCGCAGTAACTCACCAAATCCCTATGGGAAAAGCCAAATGAAGCAAAAAAAAATAGCTTAATTGTGGTAAATGAAGCAGATATTAGTACAATGACAGACATTTTGACGGGGAACCTTAATCGCATAGATATGTGGAGGGTCTGTGGAGGAGAAAATTAAACGTTGGAACACTCTCTCTCTCTCTGTCCAGCTTTTGCTAACAAAAGAACCCAGTATTTGGGAAATGGGTCTTAAAAAAAATTAGAGTGATTTATATTTAAAAGTTAAGGGACATTGTAAAAAAAACAAAATGCTTCCATAGCAAACATTTCTTTAAAACAACAGGCCTGTTCTAGCTGTAGTCTGACAATTTAGAATCCTACATATAGTTTGCGATATCTGATTATAAACTTCAATAAAATCTGTTTCAATGTAAAGGTCAGAAGACCATTGTCAAGTGCTACTGATTTTGGCGGTAAGTGTCTTTCAGCCTCAAAAGCATACGTTGTTGAAGAGAAATTTTGGTATATTTTTTATACAAAAATTGTGGTATATTTAATTATTTTACCGTACCCTGTTCTAAACCCCAAACTCATGTAAAACTTCATGTCGATTGGTCTATACTTGTGACCTGTAGAACAACAGCAAAATCCTGAAAATTGTCCATTTTTGGTCCATTTTATCCCACAAATTTCCAAAATTTCCCAAAAAATTGGCTGTCTTCTGACCCAAACTCAAATTTAGCCAGGATCGGACCATTCCTGCGTGTGATTACATATTAACATAGACAGACAGACGGGCACACAAAGATAGGGGCTATACGAAGACGAGGACTTCCATACGAATTTTTTTCCAATGGCTTTTACCCAAATCAATCTTTGAATACGATTTTGAAACAATTTTTGTCAATAATGTCGCTAAAATTATGAAAATACCTAATACAGGGACGTACCGTTATATGGGGGCTATCCGAAAACGTTGATCGGCATAACCCATTTACGAACTTAAGGTGCCTACTGGCAAAATACACACGTGTGCAAAATTTTAGCCATCTATCTCAATTCGATCGAAAGATAGTGTGATTACAACAGTCAGACAGTCGAGCATCGTTAAATCTACTTAGATTTTACGCTGATGCAGAATATTCATTATAGGGTATATCAGGAGTATTTCAAGGTGTTACGAACAGAATGACAAAACTAATATAAACTCCATAGAACTGTGGAAGGTATAACAAAAATTGGTTGAAAATGATGAAAATATAATGTTTGAAATCTGAAATTTGTTAGTAGGGCCTGGACATATGAACACATTTCAAAAATGTTTACTATATTTATACGAAAAGTACGAAATAGTACTAAATTTTGTATTGGTTGAAGGAATAGAGCTGAAATCGTGAAATTTGATATATATGTCACTGTTAGTGTCTGTGGTTAAGATATGGATGTAGTTTTGGAAATGTGTACTACATTTGTATGAATAGTACTAAATAGTACTAAATTTGATATTGATGTCACTTTCATACAGACGTCACTGTTAAGGGCCGAGTCTAAGATATGGATGTGGTTTTGGAAATGTGTACTATAATTATACGAAAAGTACTAAATTTGGTATTGGGTGAAGGGATGAGCTGGAATCCCAAAATTTTCAATTGAGGTCTATTGGTATTTGGTCTTGAGATTTGGTGGTAGTGTTGCAAGTGTGTACAATAATTGTTCGAAAAGTACTAAGTAGTACCAATATAGGATCACTATTTGGATCTAGGATGGATTCGGCGAAGGCATAGAGCTGAAATATTGTATTGAGGTCACTGTAGGTTTCTAGGATTTTCATATGCAGACTTTGAAATAGTTCCGGACTGTAAAAATGGATGTGGGTCCATTGTCCAAGGGTTCTATATGCTTCTCGGTGATTTTTTAAATAAAAGGTGTAAAAGTTAAACATTTTCCTATTTTTCTTTCCGAAAAAGGAAAACTTGAATAATACAAGGTGGCGCAAAAGTAATCCTTCTATCAGAAAATGCTATAAATTTTACGATTGGCCCCTAATGTCTTAATTATAGCCAAACCAGTAAAGAAAGTCTTAAAGTCGGGCGGGGCCGACTTTATGATACCCTACACCACTTTGCAAATTTAGTAGAGCTGCGCATAACAATTAAAAGTTTTTATGGGAGAATTCAATCATACACGCTAGGATTATAATTATAATTTAAGGTTCAAAGAACTAAATATGCCGAACCATTTGTATCTTTTAAATTCGGACTTGTACTGCCCATTTGGTGCACAATTAATTTGAAACCGGATAAAAATATATTATATGGGAGCTATATCCAAATCGGAATCGATCTCAATAAAAATTGGCAAAGATATTTCTGAGCTGTATTTGATATATTTCCCTGAATATCGTTGTTATGGAGTGCATATTACGGCTGTGGGTAACAAATATGACAAATCGGATGAACAGTATATATTGGAGCTATAGCTATATCTAAACCGATCTTCACCAAATTTGACTAACTAGCTTCTAGACTCAATTCGATCGTAAGTGCCAAATTTCATCCAATTTGGGCAAATATTAGACGTTTGGTGCACAATCCAAGGTAAATCGGACGAAGTCATATATGGGAGCTATATCCAAATCTGAACCGATCTCGATAAAATTTAGCAAATGTATTTCTGAGCTGTATTTGATATGATTCCCCAAATATTATTGTTACAGAGTGCATATTTCGGCTGCGGAGGACAAAAATAACAAATCGGATGAACAATATATATGGGAGCTATAGCTATATCTGAACCGACTTCGATCAAATTTGGCACACTTATTTTCAGATCCAATCTGATTGTACGTGCAAAATTTCATACTATTCGGACTGATATTACACGTTTGGTGCACAATAAAAGGCAAATCGGACGAAGATATATATGGGAGCTATATCTAAATTTTGACCGATTATTTCCAATTTCAATAGGGTTCGTCCTTGGGCCAAACAAATGATTTGTGCAAAATTTCATCTGGATAGGGCAATAAATGCGAACTGTACTTTGTTTACAAAAATACATGGACAGACGGACGGACAGACGGACGGACGGACGGACGGACATGCATAAATCGACTCAGAATGTGATTCTATGCAGATCATCAAAAGGAACTATGGGTCTAACTCGTTTCCTTTTGCCTGTTACAAACAAATGCACAAAGACATAATACCCTGACCACCTTGTGGTGTAGGGTATAAAAATATCGGAAGTTTACTTTTGCGCCATCATGTACAAAATGGCATATGTACTTGACAGACATTCCATGACATTTTGGGGGCTACACCACATTTCCCGACGGAATGAGACTTTATGTTTTATCCTGAGTTGCAATGGATACAAATCAATTTCTTTTAAAATGTTGTTATAGCCCCCACATTGCGTCCAATATGAGGTGTTTTAATTTTTCTAATTTTCTACGAAATTAGATGACAATATATTTTTTGTGATTTGGTGCTTCCAAATGTCCATTTTCTGAAATGGGCGCCAATATAATATGAGCAAAGTGATTTAATCCTTGATATGGTGTATTGACTCGATCCTATACTTAAAAATTCGAAATGTATTCCCATGTGGGAGCAACAAGTAATCGTGCCGGCTTTTATTCATGTTATGAAAGAAAATGATTTGTTTGCGGGAATATATTTTCAGCAACTTCCCTGTATATGTATGCATACAATTTGAATAAAAGTTTAATTCTCACTCACGGTCGAATAATTTTTCTCAATTAATATCTTTTTTATGAATTTATTGAACTTGGATGAAAATCACGTGCAATAGTTCCAAGTCAAAAAATCGTTTTATTTTCACTTTTTTGACAACTAAAACACTTCAAAATGATTCATACTTATGTATTTGTGTTTATTCTTTGTAAAAATTATTTACGCCGTAGAAACTCCGAGAAGCGTCGGGGCTAAAAATTCTAGAATTTCGCCGTTACAGATTGATTAAATTTTATAGAACAGGAAATAAATCAAATGACATTTTCACACGCTAAATTTTTTATGGCTTCGATCGATTGTTTCACTGACATCGAGGACACAAATCACAACTTTGTCCTGAAACACTTTTCATAAATTATTAAATTGAATATAGAAAAGTCATTTACCGTTTAATTCAAATGCAAACAACCATTTATTGCATTGTTTTATTTGTCTACTCCTTTTCTTGATGGCCTTTAATTATTAAAGTCCTTTTTGTATTTTTTTGTTTCACTTTTTCACTTTACAGCGCCACAAGTGATTGTGTCGCACAATTTCACACCAACACGAACCGAATTGAGTCAACGCCACACTTCACGCCTTATGAATATGTATGTATAAGATAATGTATTGGGAATAACAACAAAATTGAATAAATTAAGGATAGAAGGATACACTAAGCGAAACAAAACAAAAATAACTACAACAACTACAACAGCGAAGCAAGCGGACGGCAAACAAGAAGTATCGATTATAACCGCACGAATGTTAAAATCGATATGAACTTGTTGCTAAAGAACACACGGCGATTTATGCACCATCAAGTCAGCCACACGATATAGACACCACAGCAGACAAGCGGATAGACAGACAGTAGCAGAGTTACCAAAGTAATAATCATCGTCATTGGTTGCCTGCCAGCCTGCCTGCTTGTGATATCGAAGTCGCCGACGATAAAAGACAGGCGTTGAACAACAACAACAACACCCACCAACTGAACGACCGACAAACAAACCTTACTACGGCACCTACAAAATTAAATCTCTTTTCAAACCCCGAAACCCTTTGTTGACAAACTTAAATAACCAAGCTACCGGGCTCGTCTGTGCCGTCTCGGTCTCACATTCAAGTACACACTCACACACATAATTCAAATCATTAGAAGTGCACGTTTCCTAATTCAACGACAGGAACGAACGACAATTTACTCAAATCTCCATCGCATACTTTCTCATGTGTTTGCTCGGAACGTAGTTAATCAATAAACAATTGAAGAGAGAGAGACAATGTAATAACAAAAACCAATTCGCCCTGCACAGTGATTAGCAGCATTAGGTCTAAATGGCTTAGCAGTCTGATGAGTTAGTTTTCTATTAACAGTATGTCGATCATGGTCCAGTCAAAATATATACAAAAATTCTCTGAAAGCTAAATTTGGGGTTAAGTGCTATGATTTGCATTACAAATAAAGTCCCTATCGATGCCAAGTGTGCAGAAAACGTTACTAGGGGTCATAGGTCTACATTTTCAGTTCTTTGATTTTTACCTTGAAATCGGTTTCTTTTATCGAAAACTAGATCAAACAAAATGTGGACATCTCAAAATCTCCACAACAATGTTTTTCACTAAGAGTTACTAGTTTAAGATATCGTGATTCGAAAGGCCACATTATGTGTCTGCTGTTGGCTGGTTGGTGCGATGGGTAACTCTAGAAGGAAGTACCCGAAGTTTAAAACTTTCAAAATATTGTATACTTCATATAATAGGGAGAGGCTACTTGATATTGTTCAAACATGGTAGTATTTATGTCAATCTTGAGTTAGGTGCGAAAATGGAGAATATTAAACCACTTCTTCTAGCGCTTCCCCCACAAACGGAGTTTTCCGGCAGGAACCGTTGAGACTACCCATCATGATTGAGTTTAATCGTATGCTCCAACATCCTTTAAATATAGGTTGATACTAGCAAGCGTCAGCAATTACGAAAAGTCTACCTTTAAATTTAGATTAATTCCAACAGTTCGTATTAGGCCTTTTACAGTATGGAGGGTATATTAGGTTTGTCATTCCGTTTGTAACACCTCGAAATATACATTTTAGAACCCACAAAGTATATATATTCTTGATCAGCATAAAATTCTATGTCGATTTTGCGATGTCCGTCCGTCTGTGGAAATCACTCTAGCTTCCAAAAGAAATGAAGTAGGTTGATAAAATTTTACTCAAATGTATATTATGTCTGCGTGACTTTTGGTATTGAATAAGGGCCATGTAGGACCACGTTTTAGTATAGCCTCCATATAACTCCCTATTTTCGGTTTTTGGTGATTTAAGCGACTTCGTTCATTGGGAATTTTTCAAGTTTTGTATTTAAAGTTCGTAATGGGAACTACAGTCTGTGACAGAAAATTGTCTATGCTCGTCCAGGTCTTCGTATAGGCCTCATATATCAGTACCTCCCTATATTCGGTATTTTGCGGATTTTAGGTACAATATTCACCGAAATTATTTGAAATTTTGTATTTGAAGTCTTTAATAGATACTACAGTCAATGACAGAAAATTGTCTATACAGGTCTATGTCTTCGTATAGCACCAATACAACGGTACCTCCCTATATTCGGTACTTTGATGGTTTTAGCTACATTATTGACCGGATTTTTTTAAAGTTTCGTATTTGAATATTGTAATGGCTTATGACTATTTGCCTATGCAGGTCCACGTCTTCGTATTTTAACGATTTTAACAGAATTGTTAACGGATTTTTTTAATTACCGAATACGTTACAAATGGTGAAGGGTATTTAAAGTTCGGTCCGGCCGAACTTACTGCTTTTTTACTTGTTAGTACTCAAATTTTTATTTTATTTTTCAGAATTTTCGGAAAGAATAATAAGAAAATGCTTATATTTTACACCAAAATGCATTTAAAGCCTTTCATTTCGTAGTTTAACGAGAAGGATATTAATAGAAACATTTCACAAGGGACCTACATCCAATTTTTTGCCCAAAATTATTTCAACGTCTGAAACCCCTGAAACCAACATTGATCTCAATATCAAAATTCAAAATTTCAGCTCCATCTCTTCACCCAATACCAAATTTAGTAATATTAAATACACATATCTAAAACAATCTACATCTTTCCATCCTAGACGCTAAAACTAATCGAAAATTAGTACCATTTAGTAGTTTTCGAACAATTATAGTGTGCGTTAGTAAAAACACCACTAAATATGAAAAGAGAACTCAATATCAAATTTCGGCATTCCAGCTCAATATCAAATTTAGTACTATTTAATACTTTTAGTATAATTATAGTACTTATTTTAAAAAACATTCTGTATCTCAATCCTAGACGCAAACATTTATCGCCACATAACAATTCACGGTTTTATCCCTTCACCTAGTACTAAATATAGTACCATTCAGTACTTTTCATTGAGATAAAAAACTGCAACAAAGTCAAATGCCATAATTTTTACATTTTTTAACATTTTCGGAAATAGCATCAAATTTTAGAATAAGTTTAGATTTGTTCGAATTGGCACGAATTATGAAACCGTCACACGTCACAATGTTGCTCTGCGGTATTTTGGCCCATTCTGAGCTGATCGACACTTTGGTATTTTTAAGTGCCCACCTTGCTTTGGAAAATACTCCAGACACAATAGTCCAACGGATTGGTATCCGGAGATTTTGGTGGCCATTGTGCGCTGAAGCGAGGAACCTACTTTTATAACCATTCTTGGGTGACGCGTGCTGAGTGCGATGGTGCTGAGTCCTGTTGGAATGTCCAAGCTCTGCGGCCCAAAATGTTTGCGTGCCCAAGGCTTTAATACACCCTCCAGAATATTTTCGCGATAATATTCGGCATTTATTCTGATGCCACGGTCGATTAATACGAGTGGAGAGCCACCATCGGCTGTTATGGCGGCCCACGGCATCGCCATTGTCGGCGCTTGAGTTCTGGTGGCCAACCGAAGGTGTTCATTTTCAAATGACCTCTTTGGCAAGTAAACACGATCATTTTGTTTCTTTACTAAATGCTAGACAACGAGAAAACCAAATTCAGCAGTTCACTACTTTCGGCCAAGCGAAGCAACTCTTTAGCTCTTTTGAGTCTATTTTCTTTCCGTTGCGGTGAAAGTTCTTGCACTTTTTGGAATTGCCACGGCTTTACCCCGAGCGATATGTTCAGCTCACGAGCCATTTTTCGGCCACAGCGTCGCGGGATTCGATCAAGTCGCATCTTTACTTTTCGAACCATTTCTGCTAATTTTGTTGTTTTCTTCCGTCCACTTCCTTGATGTCGGTATTCTCGAACAATTTCGTTTATTTGATGCACCAATCACAATAATGAAATTTGGAATGAGTGAGGGGATTTGATTAGAAAAAAATCTGCAAAATTATTTTGAAATCGGTTCAGATTTGGATATAGCTCCCATATATATTTTCGGCCGATTTCGTTTATTTGATGCACCAAACACGATACCTATGCCCGATTCCAATGAAATTTGGCATGAGTGACTAAATTTGGTACAAAAAAAAGTTTGTCAAATTGTATTCAAATCGTTTCAGATTTGTATATAGCTCCCATATTTATTTTCGGGCGATTTTACATATTCGATGCATGCAACGCGATATGTATGTCCGATCCTAATGAAGACGAAAGAGAGACGAAATTTGGTAGCAGAAAGAAAAAAAAATTGCCAAATTATATTGAAATCGGTTGAGGTTTGGGTATAGCTCCCATATATATATTTCGCCCGATTTCATGTATGTTATGCACCAAACACGATATGTATGTTCGATTCCAGTGGTCTGGCCTAATAAATTTTAAAATAAGTAAATTATCTCATTTATGCCACTGTGCATTAAGTTAATGTTTACATCTTTCTCGGCGACTCTCTCCCTCTAGCTTTTCTCTCTTTCTCTTAAACAAACTCTTTCTCTCTCTCTCTCTCTTTCGTTGTCCAATTTCACATTTCTTGATGGAATATTTTTTTGAGTAAGTTTCAGCCATGCATGCTTACACGATACGGTATGTGGTCATATTTTTCATAGCTAATAATCTCTCAATACAGCTCGTGAATCAAGGTTATTTAGGAATTGCCGGTGGCAATAATAATATATTTTTATGTATTTATTTATCTTTCTACGACGAGTGAGCCACGAATATTTACGAACTTTCAGAGAATGTGTGTATGTATGTATGCGTTTGGTGTTTGCGATGTGACGACAATAATATCAACAAAACCAGAAGCCAAGGCACACAAAGTTAGCGTCCGAAAATAGCTATTGACAGCAGATATTAAGCGATCATCTCGTGACTTTTGTTAATTGTGCGGGTGACTTCTATAGCCTTTGTTGTTGTCGTGCAAAGACTTACCGATTTGAAATTGGTTTGTTGAGCGGCCCGAACATATAACAAAAAATTCACACATTCGAAATGAAACACAAAGGGAACAACATTGTAAAGTAATCAATTTGTTAACACTTTAGTGTACAAATAAATTTCTTTTCAACGATAATTTTGTGATGTTTTTTTTTTTTTTTTTTGTTAAAAGATACATGTGCTGATGACATGCCAGGGATTTGATATAAATTTTTGCATAAGCATTTCTTTTCACATTCGGAATACGTTTAAAACACATATGTAGGCTTGAAGCATGTTTCATTCATGATATTTACGGGGTTAGATGAAAAAACTGCAACCAACTTCAGACTGCTGTCATTTCTAAGCCACTAGTCCGAGAGCTGTTAAAATTATTCCAATGACAGCTCATTATATGGTCTACAAGCGTACAAAAGCACTTTGTTGAGAACTTTCCAGAAAAAAACATATTCGTGATGGAATTCAAGCGTGATATTGCGATA